GCACAAATTAACAAATAACTATAAAACAACAATACTGTGGAATAACAAAATGAATGCAGTGAATAAAACCAAAATACACGTGTTGAAGCGGTTCGCTGTTGATTACTACGCCCCCCCCCCCGAAAATCCGAATATTCGCTGCTGATTACTACCGAATATCCGGAGCCTGAAAAATTGTATTCGGGACAGCCCTGTGTATGTGTATGGTGTATATATTTTTTAAACATTTAAAATGATTAGAAGTTGGTTTGGGAAGAATAAAACATGAGGTAGAACTGTTCTGAGGACAGGCAAGGGTTTACAAGCAATACAAGTTTAGAACTATAGTTACAGAATTGGAGTTTATTTGCTAAATATTGTTGCTTTTTTCCACAATTTTCTGAAAAAGTCTTAATTGTGTCAAATGTGCTTTTTTGTTTTTAGCATATTTAGTCAACTTCAACCTTCAGTCATCATCAACTTTACAGTTACTTACCCTAACCATTTTAGTTGTATCTTAATAAAAGAAAACCTTAACTATTGTTGTATAGTCCTCTTTAACTGTCAAACACGTACAGAGCACCCCACACAGTGAAATCGGATATAAGGAGCAGTAGGCAGCTACTATAGAACACCCGGAGCAGTGTGAGGGTCTGGTTCTTGACTCAAGGGCCCCGAGAGCCCAGGAGGTGAACTGACACCAATCAGTGAATCACAGCTTCTCCCCTTGGGTTGGAGAGTAGTCCCAAGGTGTAGAACAGGTGTAGAACAAAGCAATGCAAAAACACCTTTGTTCCAGCAGCCATTGCTCAGATTAATGATTAAAGCACTGATGCAACAGCTATTTGTCTGTTTGATTGTTCATGTTTGTTCTATTGGTTTTAATGTGGTTCTTCTTTTGGGCCAGAGAGTGCCTTTATTGTTGAAACGAGGAGATGGAGAGGATGATATTGGCTTAAACATTCGCTGGCTCAGCAGTTGCCCCATATACATGATAGCAGACACTGAATATGGGCCATACTAGGGATCGACCGATATGGCTTTTTCAAGGCCGATACCAATACCGATTATTAGTAATCAAGGAGACCGATAACCGATATTTGGAACCGATATACATTTGCAGAAAAATCAGAAAATGTTGGTGTCAAAATGTAGAATAACACAAACTCCAACACAACTTCTTTGAAATGCATTTAAGCATATATTATGTTTAATGCACTTTTAAACATCTTACAACTGGTTTCTTCTCTGTGCCCTTTTTTTTAGTGCAGTCATCTGCAATGAGTTAGAGAGAGACAAGAAGTAGGGCTGCAGGCTGACATGCTTAACTAACAATAATGCTTAATTTATTATATCTGTCTATCTAGCATAAAATCCCAATAAGCTGCTCGCAACTGCAAAACACTAGTGCTAGCTAATGTTTTGCAAACTATTAAAAGTGAGGCTATTGCAGTAGACCTAACGTTAGTCTAGGAGCCTCACTTCTAATATTTTGCTAAACATTTGCTAGATACATGTTGGCTAGCTAATGAGCTTCACATATCAACCTGAAAAACTGCGAGGCTCCACTCGCAGCCCCCCCCCTCCGCACCAGTTACTCCGCTGCGAGACGCTGCACGCACCCCCAACTCTGACTGACTTCCCGCGTCCCTGTGTAACTGGGAAACTACGGAGCCCCCTAGGGGACATGGAGAAGAAAACCATTTTTTTGGAAAAAATAAAAATGTTTTGCAAGATCTCGCAAAACATTTGCGAGATCTCGCAAAACCCCGTTGCAGTTTGTAGACGGTCCCTAAACGCTCCTCTCCCTCCTCCAGCTGCAGATTATGACCAATTCTGGTTTGATGTTTAGCTCGGATGACGGCGCGTATCGAACTGTTCTGATAAAAACGACTCTGTAGCTCGTTGTCTATCTTGCTATGATTGTAAAGTCATGTTGTTTGTATTTTTACAACGTTATGTTCATGAGTTATTGATCCGCGAAATTAGAATCTGTCAATAACTCAGCTCAGAGGGACGTGCATGTCCCCTCGCTCTGAGTGTTCTCTTGAGGTGTCTTCACTTATGTGAAACCCTTATTATATACAGTATATGTGTGAAACCCGTGCCTATTGCCAAGCACTGATGTTATATCTTTATGTTTAATGCCAAGCTCAAAGTAAAATCGATGAACCGCTCCATTGTTGTGGTTTCTGTGTTGCCGTAGCAGCCAAACTGACCAGGAAGTACATTGAGCTAAATGAAAAGTATTGCGAGATCTCGCAAAGGTCTTGCGATATCTCACAAAACATTTTTTTTTTTTTTTATAATTGTTTTCCTTCTCCATGTCCCCTAGGGGGCTCCGTAGGAAACTGATAGAATTGGATCATAAAATCGTGGTATTTTTGCAACTTCAGCTTTCAACTGATTTACCTTCGAAACACATGGCTCTGCCGCTCAGCGCTGCTGCTTGCCTCTGTCTGCGTTCTTCGCACCTGCCTGTAATCTGAGAAGGTCCCGCCTCTCTGGCTGGCTCCCGACCGGAAAATCTTCAGTGTTGATTGACACTTCAGTAATAGCCTATGAGATAGCGCTGTGGGCGGGACATTGCTCGTGTACAGAGAGTGGTGACTGCAGCCAGAGAAACGGCCGCATCAGAGCCAATGTTTTATCGGCAATTTGATTAAAAAAAAGGCCGATACCGATAATCGGTCAAATGCGGAATATCGGCCCCGATAATCGGACCCCTAGGGCCATACCACCAGCTCTAACCACTGATCTATCTTTTTCGGCTCATACAGTAGCCTAATATGCGATGTTTAAACTGTGTGTCATGATGTATCCCTTGTCTTTTAACTACAAACCAAATTGACCGACAGGCAAAGATTAATAACCCGAACCTGATTTTTAGTAAAGAAACACATTTAATGCGGCTGATGTAATCCCAATATAGAGTGGACCAAAATAAACACCTGCACACAAATGTTGTACAGCAAATCTATAATATTGCAATCCCTTTTTGGTAGATGAAAGTAAAGATGGATTCAAGTCTTCAATTATAAAACAATATGTTTGTGTATGTTCTTGTTTCAGCAACATTACATGTTAAATCAGTTAGAGTAGTGTGAAATGACATTGGTGCCATCTTGTCATCGTTTCGTCTTACTCATCGACAACGTTGTTGACAGGCAAATTACTTAGTTTTTATTACTGAAATGAACACCTGCTTCAGCTTCAGTTAAATATAATGAATTAGAATCTATTTGTAAGTAGTAGTAAGGGGATGGAAAACAGCTGGAGGCAGGGTAAAAGATACAGCAACAAGTAGTATTACCTCCAACCTCATCCCAGCCTATAGGCTAGTCTACAACCTCATGCCAGCACGCACTACAAACAGCCTCATGGTGATTGTGAAGTGTTTGTGTGGCTGACTTGATCTCCTGCAACAAAACAAGTCCATGTGAAGAGTTGTTCTGGGCATTTAATGTTCTCCATCACATCTCACACACACACATAAAACACACTATCCCTTCTTCTCTTCCTTGAGGTAGCTTTCCTGGAGAGACATGAAATAAAAATGACCTTGGTGACACAGTTCTTTCGATACTTCCTGCAGAAACTACTTGATAAAATCTTTATGACACGCCTCTAAAAGCACCTTCCCGGGATATTTGTAATGTCACTACTGTGCTTTGTCACCTATTGCAGGAACGTGGCTTCCAGGACGTCAACCAAGAATGAACGGGCTGTTTTCCTGTCAGTCAGGCATGCTGGGCCGCGTGACGCAGAAATGTCAACGTGTTAAGAAGCTTCAGTTTGTGCTTAAATGTGTTTTCATGTGGAAACATAGTTAAATCTGCTCCTCAGACTTTAATTCAACCATGTCTTAAAACCTTAAATATTTATGCTTAGATCTCAAGAGAGAACTGTTCTCTTGTCTCAGGCTTTTGGGGTTTTATCAACGCTCATGTTTCACAAATTAAGACTGAGCTGTGGATTAATCTGTCTGGACACTTTTAAGGTGAAGTTGTATCTTTTCCCCTCCTCTAACCTTTAAAAGAAGTTCAGCACTTGTCAAGTCCGATGAAAAGTCAATGCAACAGATCACACGCAGACTTTCCGGAGCAGCCTCAGACTTAATGGTGAATGAACAATGTGCGAACACCATCAGATAGATGCTCATTCGCAGCATGATAGCACTGCTCTGACAGGTGATGCGTGTTCCTTCCTGTGCTTGCACACACTAGGTTTACTTGTGTGTTTCCAGAGAAGACAATCAAATAAAAACTCCACGGGAATCACTTGATGCTATAATTCGAGTGAGCAGTTTTGTGAGAAGTTGGCACGCCCGATGTGCTGAAGCTGCACAGATGCTCATATCTATTAAACATATTAAAGTAGGCTTATATGGCATACTGGCCCTCACACTCAGGCCAATCACAGGCTGGCATTGGACACTTTAAATAGTGAGTGACAGATGCTTTAATAAACATTAGAGCAGTGGCATGAATCATTATGATCCCCATTTAGGAGCATTTGAACTACCAACATAAACAAACTTTCATTGAAATAGTTTAATTAAAGTGCATTAATAAACATGTTGTTTCCTCGCATTATTCAATACGTATTTCTAAATATGCATATGTGTCGTTTTAGGGTTGAATCACAAGTTTTTTTTGTTTTTTTCCGCGTCTTTCGGTTAAATCCGGCAGATTCCAGGACGAGACGCCAATGTGTGGTCAACACTGAGAGACGGGAAACAATCTGCAAAATCCGCGGGGATTATTCATGGGAGGGTCAACGCACCAGGATTACTAAACATCTGCACGGATCGGAGACACTCTCACACACACAGATTACTTTGCTTCTATCATGATAGTCCCACAACAAAGTAGACAGGGTGAAATTCAGAGAAGGCAATTCCTGTATAGGTTTTAATGTAATCGGTGAAAAGTTACTAAATAGACTGGCTCATGTGTCTGAACTGCCACTGATGGAGATGTCATTTGTTCCCGTGTGGAAAATAATAATAATATTCTTACCTGTCCTTTCAGTAGTACTGTCTCCAAGGAACTCACAGCCTCAGAATAATCCGTATGTTATCACTGAAGACAATTCTGCACACAGACATCACTGCCGAGTCTCGGCGACGCTCCCGGGCAAAAAAAAGAAGTATCCGTGTGACTTGCGCGCAAAAATGCTGCTGTTTCTTTGTGCAGCGTTACAAGGACGGGCTGTGTCGTTTTGCGCGGCTCCTACTGTCCCTCCATGCTTCCTCTCTTACTCTCTCGGAGTCAGGAGCCTAGTTTACGGCGTGGCGTCTCGCAGGTTGGATATTGTAAAGTGAAGCCCTGGTGTGCTCACTCTCTCCCGATGCGTCAAGAGGCTCACTCACTCCCTCCCTTTTACCTCCCTCCTTGAGCCGAGCTGGAGCCCGAGCGGGACGCACGCAGAAAGGAGAGAGACAGTAGAAGAAGGAAGAAGAGAGAGAGAGAGAGCAGTGTTGTCTGTCTGCCTCCACCCGGCCAGACTCCTCACGGCTCCGGTCATCCAAGCGTAACAGACTCCCTCCTCCTAGTATAACTCCTTCCCTTCCCCTTCTCCTCCTCCCTCTCCTCCTCCTGCTGCTGCTGACGGGATGTCCAGGCAGTGTGGAGTGTTGATATTGTAAAATACGTCTCAGATGGGTTTTTATAGGGGGGTAAACAACCAGTAATTCCTTTAGAAAGTGGTACAACAAGGCAAAAGTTTTAGCTAGTGCTTGGCAACTTGGAGAAAACCCTAATCTCACCATTTTTGAGTAATATCATGATGTTTGACGACAATATTTCAGGTTTGACTATAGCCTCACCATTTGGAAAACAATTATAATTTGTTGTTGGTTTTGGAGTTAAATTATAGGAGGAATTTTTCATTTTTGCCTGATTCATTGATGTGATTTCTGGCATATTATGCCCCCAATAGGAACAAAGATGAAATTGGGGATCATTTTGTATTCCACAATCAAGGTTACTAAAACACAATAATAAACATATAGGTAAAATAAAAGTATTTTCCGAGAGCATATTCAAATTCACAAAAAAATATAATTAAAAGTAATTGATACATTATAAGGAGCATAATTGAGTTGAGTGATACAAGTATGTCATTTATTTAAATTGACATGTTGTTATTATCAGGTGATATTATTCTTAAAAAGACAATCTTGAAATGTTTTAAATGACCTCTTTGCATACTGTAGGACTAAACTGTTAATAATACGATCTATGACCCTTTCAACAGGTTGTGATGCCTTGCAAATCACTGGCTCCCAGATGTCGACAGTTGCAGAAGTGATGTCGAAGTTGCGATGTAAATGATTAATAAAGTGTTTTAATTCCCTCTAGAAATGTCCCATCATGAGCTCATTACAATTAACATCACATGTCTACGCAGTGTGAAAGCGAATCATATTGTGGCAAGCTAATTAACTGATTTGCAGTAAACAAGCTACGCTACCCCTTTTTTATTCACATAAATATTTAAACACTAAACAGCATCTCTAATCTCTACACGAAAAAACATTCTCCATGGCCAAGCGTTCACTAACACACTAATTAAATTGCTCGTGTTGTGTCTACGACCAACTTTTTAAACCAATTTGCAGTGTATCCACCATCGTTTGAGGATACCTGAGCCTCTTGGAACAGTGTTGGGCTTTTACGTCAAATGTTGTGATTAATATACGGTAAAATTACAACTTCAGGGTCAATCAAGATGCCAATGGATCCATCAACACTTTCCCATTTGACTTACATTAGGAAAAATACATCTGTTTATCAGGATATGATAACAAATCTATTTCCTAGTGCAAACAAGTCCTTTAAGTTGTACAATTTAGAATACAGGGTTAATTCCCTGAGCACAATAAACTGTCTTCATGGGAAAGAGCTCAAAATGAAGCAGGGAGGTGGGTTAAGGAAACGCTGTGCTTAAACTATGGGCCCCATGGATGCAGAAGATCTAAGTACTTTTCAAACAATAGATTTATTGGTTTTCAGTTGCATCAACTTGCACACTAAATATTAGATTCATAGAACGCAGCATACATTTTCACCCAGTTTTCCCAGCGTGGGTTTCTATACTTTTATTGCTTTTCTTATGCACCATTTTAGGTTAACGCGCCACTTTCATATGACTGAATGTGGCTGTGCTTTCAACACTGTATCTGTTGATACACTTGTTTTGTTTTTGAATAGATACATTCCTGTTTTTGCATAGCTTGCCCTGATGAACAGATATGTCGGTTCAATTAAGAATATCAGGTGGGATATCGGTGTGTCCGGGCAACACCAAACTAAACGGCTTATGTGTGTCTGTCAGACGGTCTGAGGGGATATCTCGGAGCAAAACTGAATGCACAGAAGACTACAGGGCAGGTAGATTTTATTCTTGAAATATTACTTTAGTATCATTAAATTACAACTCTATTCTTGGGATATTACCTTTTTCCCAAAAAGCAGCTTTACACTTGCAATAGAGAGCACAGATATATTCGATACGTTTTGAATGTGCATAACGTTTTTTACCATGAGTGGGAACCTGATGTAACGCCTATGAGCTGTCAGAGTTCATGTGTTCATTCATTATTCACTATGGAAAGAGGTTTCTTCCCCAAACTAAAGCCACGCAGGAGGAGGGAAGAGTAAGACATGCCTACATGTGTGTTAACTGAGCAGGGATAACATAAATGTGTGTAATCCATAAGACTCTGCTGTATTATAGCTTAACATATTTAACATTAAATTGTCTCCTGGATTCTACATTCAGTGTTTTCCTTTGCATGATTAGATATCAAATATACACCCTTGGTAATGGGTTTCTATGAAATACATACATCCTAATACAGTTTCACTGAAGTAGTCATTTCAGGCATCTTTTTGAAAACGTTCCTCCAGCCTCTGGTTTTCTAAGTGTAGAAAGAGTAGCATAGCACTTTACATTTGAAAAAGGTTGGAGCCGTGTGTGTCTCCAGAGGGAGCTTCATGTGGTCTTGTAAATTACCGGTAGTGGAGCCACTTCAGTCAGAGTCAGTTGGTGCTCAGTTGAAAATGAATTAAAAATATCTCAGGATGTAGGGAAAGAAGGGAGTGCCATACAACATGCTGGAGGTTTCATTACCAGCAGAAAACACACTAATCTCAGAGTGCACGGTCGAGGGTCGAGGAAGAACAACGTATGGAAAAAACAAAGACAATTGATTTGGTTCTGCTGCAATAAATGCCTAAGGTGCTCCACGTTTTTATTCATGTATTTAGCATTTTCTTTTGCAAGTACTTGACTTTTCTTCAAACTTTTGTAATAATTCTTCAAACGGTTGTTGAACCTGAACCCACTTCCTTTTCTAGGTCATACCTAACAACAAACCCCCACAAGATATACAAACAACATGTTATCAAATGAGGTGGGCCTGAGCCTGATGCATATCTGATAAAAGGTCATACTGTATCAAGTATGAAAAACTTTTTTGCAAACATATGTTTGAAAAAAAACCCAAGCTCTCCTACGCTCATATCAATTTGTATTCAGGACTGAGTGTATCCCAGCTGGAGTCATTCAAATAACTCGTGATTGGGTTTTTCAGAGGACAGGAGAAGCAGGGCAATTTAAAGGAAGTACTGCATTCCTCTAACAATACATGCATTTAAGGTATTTCTGTTGAACATAATGTGGTTACTACAGAAATAGGAGTTTGCTGTAATGGGTATTGATATGGAAAACTTCTTTGCAGCAATGTTGAGCCAATCATGAAATGAGGGAAACTGGATTCGCCTTAGTCAATACACTGATATTTATTGAGAGACAAAACGGCCGGAGGATTAACAAAGCAACTCGCACTGTTTAATGCAAGCTGCCAAATTAACTCTGAGACAGAACCGCTCGAACCTGGTCTCTGAGAAGGGGCGGAGCCTAAAAACGCGGGCCTTTACCCCAATCGATTCCAGATGAACAAACAAAGATGCTCTGTCTGTAAAGGCATCGGGCAGTAAACCCTTCCCCCACACAGGAAAAGAGTAGTCACTCATGTGAAGTTTCTCAGGACAGCTAAGCACACAAAGACATCAGACTAAAATATTCCTTTACAGGTATCATGAAGACGGATAGTAAATGACTATAATTGGGGACATAGTGACACCATGATACAGTCATTATGACCTCAGTCTTGAATGCCTCAGGTACAGTCCCTAAAGTGATTCCCAATGGACTAATTCCACCCAATGTTCTCATTTCTGTGAAAACAGAACACATCTTAAGTGAAGTTTTCCCACAAACAAACCCGGGCTAATTAACCACTTCTCTCCCCCATGTGGATAATACCACCTCACCATCATTCATCTCTCTCTCTGACCATTCAATAGGAAAAAAAGGGGCTCCCTTCAATCAAGCCAGTTCAATGTTTGCCACGAATATTGACAGGGGATGCAGGAGGTCAAACAGGTCCATAACCTCCTTGCATCTCCACCGTAATCAATAAACTGATTCTACCAACACCTGTGAGTCTGATTCCAGGCACTGGACTGTCGAAACCGTGCGGTGAGTGAACGTTGGACCGGAGGCCTCTACATAATCACACAGGCTGCCAGAGATAAAAAAGAAGTGCAGTGAATCTATCAGTGTATGCAGGCAGGATATATCAGTGTCGGTGAAGGAGTATCTCAGTAGAGTTAGGCTTAAAATGTGTAGAAAGTAGTGGTGTCAATCAATTACATAATGTAATAACGTAAATTACCACAATAGTTTGAGATTATTTACGATGAAATAAGTCTAAAAACGACATATTCTGCTAATTTCCAGGTGCTTGTACCTCTTTTTTGACCCTCTGTTTGAAACCAGAGCCAAGTCTGCTCTGATTGGTTAGCTGGCCGGCTCTGTTGTGATTAGAGATGTCCAATACAATACAATCTGTTGGAGTGCTAGCCAATAGAAGAGTGTGTTCTGGGGGGGAAATCGGGATGTTAGCCTTTGCAGAGCGCCACACAAACCTATGTAACACACTACAGGAAAGGAACAATCTCAAAAAGCATAGGGCTCAATAGGGCCTCTTTAAAAAAACATGACATACTGGTAAGAGATATCACAGAGTTGTTTTTACTTCATTATAACATAGTTTCTGAATCATTGGTATGAAACAAACGGAGAGCCGCTGTAATCAGCCTATGTATAATGTGCGTTACACAAGGAATATGCTGCCATCATATAGTGAGCACTATCAGTTCCTGCAGAGGGGACCGTCTCCTCTGTCGATCACTTCTGTGTAGCTCCAAGAAACTGGTGTGGCGATATTTCTTTCCTCAGTCTTCACCACACCAATAACGAACGAGGGCAGTTGCCATTTGTCAAGGGTTGGATGTGCCGCTATAGTGATGGCTCTTAGTGATGTCCAGTGGTCTCTGTCAGTGCAATACATGCAGCTTTTGTCAATTCCCCTGCTATTTTTGCCTTTTCACTGGCATGCATTTCATGGTAAACATCAGGGCTGGAATTAAGGGAGGAAGTTTGG